CATACTGGTCAAGCTCACATTAGTAGATGCTTTACACCAGCTTCTGACTGATGAGCCGATAGTAAAATTCCATATGCTGTACTGGAAATTGTCATACTTGCTTCAAGTAAAAACACCTGTCTGTGATTCTTGCTTATATCAAAAACCAATCTCACCTGCATTTATAAGCACTATGGAGTGACAGGAGGAGTCATCAGAGTCTGAAATTTGCCAAAAGAAATATATACACATAACTGAAAGTCATCTATGTGAATATACAGCTTTCACAGCCAGATTCCATTGTTTTCCAATCAGAAACCCTCAAAAACTAAAGGATATCATACATGTTGGAGGATAATTTAAACCTACAAACAGACAGACAAAAAAGTTGTCAATGTGGAGCAGACACCACCCTTACACTAACTCTAGCTGGCATTCTGCTTATGCCCAAGAGAAGTCTCACCTTTCCATCCCCTTCTTGAACCTACACAGGACACTATAAGTAAATAGACCTAGAACAACCACTGTTTCTGCCACCTTGTCCAGGCTTCCATATCTGTAAAACATATATACTTAGTTTTCTCTCTGTCTAAGTATGCAATGCCTCAGGATGCATAAGAATTCATCTGTAGTGATGTAATCCAGAAACAGAAAAACAGGCACGGTATACATTCACTAGTAAGCAGATATTAGCTGTATAATATAGGACAGCCATCTATAGACCTAAAGAAGCTAAACAGTAAGGAGGACCCTAGGGAGGATGCTTAAATCTCATTCAAAGTGGCAAACAGGATAGACACCAGAAACGGTGGAAGAGAGGGAACAGGATGGGCATCTACTATAGAGGATCCTCTGAAAGGACTCACCCAACAGGAGACGAAAGCAAAAGCTGAGACTCAAGGTCAAACTTTGGGCAGAGTGCAGGAAATCTTATGGAGGAAGAGAGGGGTGGATTTAGGAAAACATGGAGGGGACAGGAGCCCCACAAGGAGACCAACAAAACTAAAAGATCTGAGCTCAGGGTGTCCTGTATACATTGGTGCACCAATGGAGGACCACGCATGGAGAGGATCTAGACTCCCTGCTCAGATGTGGCCAACTGGTAGCTCAGTCTCCATGTGGATCTCTGAGTGAGGGCATCAGGAGCTGTCTTTATCATGAACTCAGTTGACTGCTCTCAGATCACTCAGTCCTGATGATGCAGCCTTGCCAAGCCATGGAGGAAGAGAATCCAAGAAGTCCCGATGAGACTTAGCAAGCTATGGGCATAGCAATAGTGCAGAACTCCCTTTCAGTGGACTGAGAGAAGGGGATGAGGGGAAGAGGGAGGGAGGGTGGGACAGAGGCAGTTGAGGGAGGGGGCCTTCAATAAGGATATATAATGAATAAATTGTGAAGAAAAAAATAAAAATTAAAAAAAAGAATTCATCTGTAAAGTTACAATAAAGAACTTATATTCAATGAAAAATTAAACCTTGGTAGCGCTTCAAAAGTCTTCAGTGACTCTTTATGGTCGAGAAAACAGTTCAAACAAATGATGTAATCTTTAAGACTTTCTGCACACTGATCTCATCGCCCCGCTTACACTGCTTAACCTCATTGTTCTAGCACACAGCCCTCTTTTAAAGTCCTGATAGCTAGTTCACCATGTTCTGAATATTCCTATGCCTTTTCCAGATGTTAGTATCATTCTCTTGTCCAGAAATCACTACTATTCGACCCCCATCTATTCAAATGCCACTTGGTATGGCTCAGCTGAAATGCTGCCCCTTCCCTGAAGCCTCAATTACTCAACTGTAAGGATGTCATGCTTTTTCTCCTCTGTGGAAACAAATCTGCACTCTAGGTTCACTTTGGTTTAAGTACCCCCCCCCCAACTGCTATGTCCTTCTTAAGACATATGTATGTATTCATCAATATATATGTTTGATTGATCATAAATTAACCTCACACACAAAACATGAGAAAAGGTTTATGTTCACCAAGGACTTGAAAATAAAGCAAGCATGTGTAGCTGTTAGTACAGCCAAATGATGGCAACTTCAGGACATTTAGCATGTTGTCACTGGACTCTTTCCTTTCACCAGGGAGCCCATTTCAAGCCTCAGTCCCCTTTGGAGAGATTCTAGGAAAAGCACTCTCAGAGCCTGCACAGAGATCCATTCCTGAATTCATGACTTGCTGTCCAGATCTGCTACTGAATCAGATTCGGGCAAGTGTGAACTGGAGAAATGAACTAATCGTTGGCACCATCCAAACAAAACGAAATGAGCGCCTTTGCTATGTTGGCTGGAAATTCAGGTTCAAAATAATGGTGCAAAGGATGAAAGAGAGAGAGAGAAAGAAAACTCCAGCCTGCAGCTGTAGATTGCCTTCTCTTTAAATGTGCTTTTCTTGTCCTTGTTCCTTCCTCCCTGCCTCTTATTTTTCATAACTATGTGATGGAACTGGAATGTGTGAGAGGCATTAAAGGATTATTTTCTATAATCCTGTGAGAATATTTGCTGACACTTTTTATCAACCAGACCCTCTTCTAGCCCCTCTTTTGTTTGCTCGGAACACATTTCCTTACTAAATTAAAGACTCGTAAGAAGAAACACTATGCCTGTAAAATTATATTTGGTTTCACGCTTCAGCCCCAAAACAAATAATGAGTCTTAATTTTCAGTTCTAGTAAAGAAGGTTACTCGTTTGGTAGACTTCGCTTAGTAGTTCTAAACACATCCCTAAAGGATACACTATTTGGGAAAGAAAACTGAATCGTGAGAGAAAAGAGAGGTAACCGCTAAACAGTAAATTGACAAAAGAGTTCAAGTAAAAGTTTTAGCTTTCTCATTCTTCATTCATTTATTAAATAAGCAAGTGCTGCTCATTATCCATATGTCCATTCTCATTAGAATAATTTATTCAGCTAGTGCAGGTGAGCATTTATAGTTTGCTGGCTAGTGAACCAATAGGCATAGTTTGTTACAGCCAAAGACTTTCTAAAGCTGAATAGGAGGTCCATAAACTAAAGGGAAAAAAAGCTGGTGGAGAAGAGAGAGGGAGGGAGGGCTAGGAAGGGGGACAAGGGAGGGGATACAAAGTGAATGAATTATAATAAATAAAAAAATTAATCTACAACCAAACAAACAAAAAAATAGAATTACAAATATTAAGGCAAGGAGGCAATGTGACGAACTTTATAAACTTAAATATCTGATTTGGTGTCAAATTAAAATTGTTCTCATTTCACGGACCCTTAGTCATCCTCCCTCTCTGAATCACACCGCATTCTACACGTTGACTTCCAAGAATATCTAGTTGAGCTAAGCTTGGAATTCTTACGAAGGACTCATCAGTTGAGGCTCTGGGATCTCCAGAAAGGCAGATGAGAGTAAGTCTGTGAAAAACTAAGTCCAGCGTAAACTTAGCACATGTGGCGCCAGGTATCATACCAGGCATGCACCGGTATTTTCTTAATAGATTCTTTTAAAATTCTTTCTTATACTGTGAGCTGCTACTAGGCCAGGGGCTCTTTCTTAAAGGAGAGGAAAAATTTGGGGGCCTCTCAGAATCCTGAGGCTAAGTCCAAGACTGTTTTTGTTGTTTTCACACCTGGCAGAAGGAGAATGAAGGGCCAGTGGACCTCTGGCATCCTGTGGGCAGATGCTGCCAGCTGAGGATGCTAAGGAACAGTCTACAGTTCTTCCAGTTCTCAGCAGAGCGCCTCAGATAAATGACACAGGCTCCAGGAACACTGAGGAGTGCAGTGCGGTACTTTCTAAACTCCCTAGCTGTGGCTCAGCCTGTTGCTAGCTTGAGCTAGATAGAAAACAAGACAGAAAACAGTACAGCATGGATCAAATCCTTCCTCCTCAGATTCGGGTGTACCCTGGTCTTGTGTGTGTGTGTGTGTGTGTGTGTCTACCTGCGCACGCGCGCTCAGTGAAGATCACCCCTTTTTCTCCAAGGCTACTGTCTGACCCCCATTTCCCTGCACCCTCATTAACCCCACCTCTGAGTCTCAAGTTCTCTTTTAAAATGCTTTGATTCCTTTGGTGGCAAAAACCGAGCTTGGGCTGGGAAGTGAGTCACCGCTCAGCAGCGAAAGGACCTTGTTTTTCTTTCTCTGAATACATTTTTAAATAAGTTCAGCATGACCCTTCGCACTTGTCTAAACCTTCTCCGTGCCTGCGACAAGCGGAGAAAAGAGCTGCGACATCGGGACGCTTTTCAATTGCTGGCTAGGAGAGGTTTTGGTTTGTTGTTGTTGTTGTTGTTGTTGTTGTTGTTCAAATACCGAAAATAACCAGAGGACAAGGAGCCCTGGCATCCTGGGTTACATAAGCAGATGTTGAAGGGACGAGCCGGTGCGGAGCTGTCTCCGCAGATGGACCTCACAGCTGCGCCAGGCTCGGGAGCGGCCTGGATGCTGCACCCTCAGAAGAACTTTCTGCCGACGGGAGCCTGGCAGGAGCGAGGAGGGGTGGGCCCGGCTGCCGCAGCCAGCTCCTGGGAGCAGGGCGCCTGGGGCTCCCGGGCCGATCCCCTCCCACTTCTGTCTGGGCGCACCGGGCATGTCGGGTCCTCCCCGCTCCTCCTCACACCCATCTTCCTCGCCTCTACCTCGCTTTCAGAACGCTTCGGTTCCCTCGGGCAGTTACTTGGCTTTTCACTCACAGAGAAATCACCTTTATGATTAGTGACAGTCTCCCACCGTCCTCTCTCCTCCAAAAATGTCACTGACAAAACCGAAAAACCATCAAGTTACCCATCCCTTCTTCCAGAATCAAATCCCCCGTCTCTCTCTGCTCATCTACCCCTACTTTGGCTTCTCGTCCCCAAACCCCATTCATTTCCTCCCCGGCCTTTCCCTTCGGTAGTCCCAGCGCCTCTCTCTACTCTCCGTTCCCGCTCCTGTCTACTCTCCGCCACCCTCCCTCCTGCAGATTTGGGGCTCTACCGTCTCTGCCCCTCCCCAGACAAGTGTCCGGCTCCACGGGGGCAGCCCGCCCGCCGCCCTGCTCAATCCCTGCCCACCTACTGTGAGGAACAGCTCCGCCCACCTGTCCATAAAAGCCAAGTGCAAGTTGCCCGCAGAGCGCAGAGGATCAGAGCCCGCCCTCGGTCCTCTCCGTGGGAGCCCGAGTCCCCGTCCCCCAGATCTGAGGAGCTCAAGGTAAGATAACCCTTTTCAGAGCAGTGAACCTGCACCGGGTTGCTGCCCGGAGTGAGTCGCTTCCGGTCAACGCGCTTACTTAGACTTGATTCAGAAGGATGCTGGGATGAACAGTGAGTTTCTTAACCAGCAACTGGTTTGAAAACAAACTTCTGTTTGAACAGTAAAATAAAATTTCCTTTTTGGCAGAAACAACAGCATTTCTATTACAAAAAAAAAAAAAATCTTTTCTCTTTTTAAGTCACACTCAGCACCCCCCTCCCCGCCCCGTCTGTTTGTTACTGAGGTTAAATGTATCTATTTTGCGGTGTTGTGCGTGTGATTTTAATTGTAAATACTTCACATATCAGTAGGGGCAGAGAAAACTGTCCCGTTGTCAAAAATGCACTTTAAAGGAGCACAATTAGTTCTCTAAAAATAGCACAGCCAAAAGGTCTGCTGACGATTTTGTGATGTTTTCCAAACCCCCACGACAGCTCCTGTGAGTCCTTTAAGAAGTATCTTTCCAGGTTTAATTCTCGGAAAAAATGATGTGAACCGGTGCCCTTTGCCCAGGGACAGTAATCAGGTGGCTGGCAGATAGGGAAGAACAGATCCCCGTGCGCAAGCTGGGGCAGGACGAGCTGGGCTACCTGCCTTTCCACCACGTCCTTAAGTGAGACTTGTGTTGAGACTAAGGCAGTCTAGGAGAATTCTGTGATGTCTATACACACCTAAAAGATAAAGTGTTTCAATATGTTTCTCAGAGAAGCACGCAGGCCAGATTACACAATTCTTCTGTGTACGGTGGACTGATGTATAGCGAGATCACCCAGAAAGACATCAGAGGAAGGTTGTTCTCCTTTCACCCCTCTTCCCCTCTAGCAAATGCCTGGTTATTGACTGACTCTCCCAGAACTCTGGGTGTGTGCGCGCGCGGGTGGATGGGTAGGTGGGTGGGGGTGGGTGGGCTGGGGGTTGACCTGTTCTTCTTCCATAGTGTTGTGCACCTGTGAGAGAAAAAAACAAACCCGACAGCTACTTTGGGAAAAACCAGACTCTTGAGCCATGAAGTTTGCCATCATGCTCTGTGGGTTTTGTGGGATGAAACACTCTCATGTGGGAGAAAAGCCCTCTTCAAGTGTTCCATCTGGGCAGCTGCCGAAGCTGCACTTGGAGGAGGCAAGCCGTGGCTGCCAGTCAGGAAACCAAACCACTACTCTAGTCCTTAAGGTCCTTAAGGGGAGAGAACTGTTTACATTTTTATGTCTGTTGGTTGTATGTCGTTTCAAATGAAAAATTTCACTATAGGGGGTAACACTGAAATAAATTAGACATATGACTTGGGTCTTTCTAAACGTTTGCCTTATCTTTCCTATATGAGAAGAAACTAGAAATGTTAGAAGCTGTTTAGGGTGAAAGAAATGTCATGCAGGAGTACTCTATCATGGTACAGTTTTTTCTCCAGTAGGAAACACTGAAAACAGTGTTGTTTCCTTTAAGAAAATAATATAAAATTACTATTGGACAAGATAGTGTGTGACCTGTGCAAATTCAAATATCTTCATCTTCGGCCACAGGGTGGTCTGCTGGCTCTGTATCTTAACAGGAGTAAGCAACCATAAAAGACACAGCTATGAGACAAGGCCAATCCACGTGTTTGGTTCATTCAAGTTAATTCCTCCTTGCTACTTGAGTCCTGCCCAGCCCCATCGGCGAGAAAAGAGAATGTTTTCCTTCATGGATCTCCTCCGTCAAAGTTATCAGCTCTAAGGGGCAAAAGCTTGCATTATAGGCCAATGTTAAAGCTAAATTTGAGGCTTATGATTGTTCTCTGAAGGTTTGCTTCTGCTTTTCCTAGCAGTCTGAACAGACCAGCTATGAACAGTTTAACAGTAGCTGCCTTCCCTATGTGCCATGAGCTTCAACCCCCCCTCCCCCAACTAAGTGAATGAGATCATGTCAGAGTGTTCATGATCTAACCTTCCCAGGGGACATTGCTATTCAAAGGGATTCTTTCCTGAGGGCATGTGCCAGGCACAATGGCACTTTCCTGCTTACGAGTTTAGAGAAGCCAGTGATGAGGTGTCATTTACTTATCCTAATATCACTCCTTCCGCCAAAGGACAAGCCCAGTCTCCTCTTTCTGTGTGTGACCATACACAGCCAGCACCATTGCAGCAGGCTGCAGATGACACCCTAAAAGAAAACAAGAGTGGGTGCCTCCTTAACCAGAGACAGATTTTAAGAACCTGCTATACTTAGAGAAACACACGTTTTAGATTTCTATTTGTGAATAAATAAAATATCTGCATGATCAGAAAGCATATTACTTTACCTTTATTTCAAAAGAAATGAATAAAGGCCAAGAAAATAAAGTCAACCAGAACTGAGAGGGAAGCTGAGAGAATCTTAGACATCTATTAAGAGAACCTAGATCTGTTATCCCACATGACCTCTTGCCGTCCTTACTTATGCAGAGTTATGATGAAGCTGAGTTGAAGTGTCTGCTCTGGAGTTTCTGTTTGAATTTTCTTTTCTAGTCAATAAGAGGAATGCCGCCAGCAACCTAAGAGCCATCTCTCCTGTCACTCTCATGAGTCTTCCTTCTCCTACACAAGACGGTAGCACAGTTCTAAAACCCGAAATGACTTCAGGGGTGCCCACTTCAGAGTCACAGGAACTTTGCCAGTTCTAGTTTTTAACTCTGTGAACATATCAAACGCCATGTTTTTTATCTAACCCTGGGACATCTACAAAGTGAACCCTAACTCTCCTGATGGGGACAGTGCTGTGTGAGTATTTTCAAGTTAGAGGTATCAGTTACTCCTCCTCCTTGGTCACTAGCTTGGTATGGCCACTTACAGAATGACTAAGACCTCCCGTCTCTGCTTCTCTTCAGTAACGCTGGAGAAACCTGTGTTACTATGTGCTTCCACATCCATACAGTGCATAATTTAAAAGTACAGACAGATCCTGAGGTTGGAGAGCAGTCTTGCAAAATGAAGTGTTCTAACTGTTGAACAGAAGTAGAGGAGAGGAAGGGTTAAGGGGACAGTGAATGCCTTTGGAATTTAGAGAATCTTTCTCTTAGCCTTGTGCAAAAGGCCCTCTCACTACTGAAGGCATAAAGAGGGGAGGAATGGGAACCTGCTCACCAATTGTTACCAAATACTAAGGGTAGAATCTTTAAAACTTGCTTTAATTTTTCCCAGTTAACTGCAGTTTACACCCCCAGCTCTAAAGCACAGCTTTGCTGGTCCCTACTCCGTCTTTGGAGGGATGAGGACTGAAGGGTGAGAAAGGAAGTTAGCCACACCTCAGCACCAAGAGAGAAAACTCTGCCCAAAGACTCCAGCATGGTTTTGGTGTGTGCTGTCTAAGGTCTGTGTAGTCTTCCCTTAGGAGCTAAAAGGAGTCCCTAGACTCCGGAATATCTACAATCCGGAAGCCCTGTGAATTCCTGGATTCCAATCCAGGAATCCATTGACACTGCATCAGATCAAATGAAGTAAATAAAACAAAAACATCCCCCCAAACCAGCTGCAGTGCTGTCGCCTAAAATAATAACAAGTACTAGTGTCATAGTTGTCATGAATCAAAGAAGCTGCTGCCGGGGCTTGTGTATACTGCTGGAATACACTTTGCATGACGTTCAATGTTCTCTTTTACTTGGGATCACTTCTATTGTTCCTCCTGGCATCTGTCCTTCATGCAGTCTCTTAGGGGTCTGCCGCTGTAGTCAACAACTCTGGTTGGCACTAGCATTGTTTCTTCAGTGGAAGGGATCTCCTCCATCTTTATAGATGGCACTTTGGAGTAGCGCTCATTCTTGTGGTTTTTCTCATTACTGTGTGTCTCTTCATACTTCCTTTAAACGAACTGTAAATGTTGACTCCATCAAATCAGAATGTTTTATAGTTTTCTTAACTTTAACCCTCATACCTGGATAAAAAGTTATCAAGAATTTCTTCGTGCCTGAAGGCATAAATTATTCTAGGTGAGTTTTCTGGTAATTGTATTTATTCAGTAAGCTCAAACTTGTAGAAGGTTAGTAAGGACCCAGACAGTGCATAATATAATTCCTGGAAGGGACTTTGGGGCTTTAATTTTAACTAATAGTTCATTTTAGACATGAAAAAGGTCAAAAAGATTGATGTCATTCACAACCCAAGTGGAGGGCAAGTAGCCAAACTCCCAAGCCAGTGCCCCATTCTTAGTAACTGATGTTTCTGCCCACCCAGTGGCAATCTAAAGTGTCCCACACTATGTTGAGCAGCCCATAAGAACAACGTGGATATCTCAGAAAAGCGGATGTTTGGAATACAGCTGTATCCTTACCAAAGAATGTGTCTAAGAGATATGAAATAGACCCTGTGAAGACTGAGGTTACTGAACATCAGCATCGCAGGGACCTTTGATGCCATTCTCCATGGCAGAATCGTAAATACAGTAGATAGTTGGTAAATCTGTGTTCAATAGAAGAGTGGATAAAGTGAGAAAAAGGGTTAAACAGAAAATAGTCATTATTTTCAAATTCTATTTTTAAAAAAGACCTCTCTGTAGTTTAGGAACATATAGGTACTCAAATCCCAAGTGTATCAAGCTTAGGATTCCCTCTTATGTTAGGAAATGTAGACGAACTCAACCTCATTGGTGGCTGGCACATCACCTTCCTACCTCTTTCTCAGCTCTAGAATTACACTTCCATATCTAGTTTCAATATTTATATGTAATAAGAATATTAAGTAATTATTTGCAGTATAGTCTTCATATTGTCCATCCAAAAGACAATGTGCTGTAAGTTGATTTTTGTGCTTCTCAAAGGCTTTAAGGAGAGGAGAGGTGAATAAACACAATAGACAATTAGAGAAACCATGGATGCACTGATGGAACAGTACAGACCTGAAGGGTGAGGAGGCAGAAAGAAATCCAGGAGCCAAGGACATAGTGAGAGAATGGCACAGTGCCAAGGGTTCACACTTCTGGTATGGAAAAGGAGGAACTCTAGAGCAATTTGG